AGGAGGTCCTGAGTCCTCTTGGTCAGAAGTATGTGCCTTCCGATTTCTCCTCCTACACTCACACTCAGCACTCAGACTGGCTGAGGGAATAGGTTTGATGTGTGGGATCACTCCCATCGGCCTCTCTGCTGCCTGAGAAGAACACCCAGCCCCTGAACTGTAGGGTTCCTGTGTCTCCTGGCTTTGTTTTGTTTTGTTTTTCTTTTTCCATTGTTTTATTGAAGTTCTCTGCCATTATGTGCAGATGGGAGAAGTGCTAAGACAGCTGTCTGTCTGATGGTGAGGCTACCTTGCACACAGCTGCCTTGGGTTGTTGGGAAGATGTTTTCCTTGAGACGCTGATGTTCAGTTCTGGAAATGGGAGAATTCTGAGTTAGCCAGCACAGTTCACTCCGGGGTTTGGCTAGCCAGTCTTCTGGTGTCCAGATTTCCCCAGAGATGAAAGGGAAGGAGTTTCTGGTGGGAGGAGGAGAACAGGGGATAGAAGACTCTCGCTCAGGGACATGTGGGATGAAATAAAACTTCCCAGGTATTTCCCAGCTGCTGCTAGTTATGTCCCCAGTGGAAGGCGGAACGGTCAGAGGGACAGCGTCAGAGCAATAGCGGAGGGAGCTAAGATTTATGGAGCACGCAGTCCTGTGCCAGGTGCTGGGCTAAGGTTGCAGTGAGGACGGTATCCCTCAGCCTGACTGTAACTCCACGGGACAGACAGGAGGAGACTAGCCCTGTGCTCAGCCTATCACATGGCTCTGCATGATGCTCAGCTTCAGAACTGGTGTGCCCGCACTGCTGCTGGGGACGCCTCTAGCCTGTATTGAGGCTGAGCATTGGTCCTCTCCATGTACAGCTGTGGCCTAAGGAGGACAGAGGACAGGGGCAGGTTCTGCTAACTGTCCACCAGACATGTCCTCTGTTCCAGTGGCCTGAGGGCTGCAGGGAAGTGGACAGGAGAGCTCAAGGTACTGTTGGCTGGCAGTCAGCTTCCTTCTACTTAGTTTCCCACCACTGTAGTGCTTTGGTACATGTGTGTACATGAGTGCATGCATGTGTGTATGTGTCCTGGAGAAGTAGTTTTCCTATACTTTCAGTTCTGCTGTCCCACGTTCCCCATTGTTCTGGAGCCTTTGCCAATTGCTCTGATGCTGTGAGCTCAGCTTATCATATCCCCAGAAACCCAGCTTCCCCATCGCCTGTTACACTGTATAAATGTATCAATATTAAGCATCATTAGGGTATCTTTGCTTGATAAGTGCATCCTCGGGATCCAGCAATCAAGGCTGCTTTTAATGGCCTCTCCTAATATTTACCCAGCCGACTTCCTTCTATTCTCTTTGCCACACTGGGGACAGGAGGCTCCTGTGTGCCAACTCCTAAGTCACCTGCACTTATTTTCTGTTATTCGTGGCAGCAAGCTCCTTTTATTTTTCGACCACGAGTGGGTATTTGATATAATAGATTATTACATGTTACAACATATAAATTACTAGGTCTTAGAAGCAAGAAATGAGTAATTTTGCCCCAGGTTATATAACAGCTCCTCTAGAGTCAGTGAAATCAATTAACTAGATGGTCTGTGGTCAGGGCGAAGCACAGAGTCACCGCCTGGGCAGCTTTCAGAGCCACTGCCTCATGTAATGACGCAGCAAACCAGAGGTGAGTCTGAAGCGGTATCTAAGTGCTGGGATGAAGGATTATAACACATCCAGCCTGGGGAGAACAAAGACGATACCCCAACTTCTTTCTGAGGAAGTTAATTCTGGTTGTGAATTTTGATCAATAAATGCGTGTTAGGAAGGCAGCTGCCTCCGGAAGTCAGTGTGTTCAGATCTGGAAACCTGAGGGGGTGGTGTCTAGGAGGCAAGGAGTGAGAGAAGGGGCAGCATGGGCCAGATGCAGGAGACTGCCTTCGACGGCCAGCAAAGTGGCATGTGATGCAGATAGCGCAGCGTGGGAGTCCGTCCCTGTTCCTTACGGCGGAAAGACTGAGGCGAGTTACTTAAATCCCCGAGTTTCGCTTTTCTCTCTAAGGTAAGCTCCCTGTGGTGGCAAATCTGGTCATCAACCTGACAGCATCACCGAGGAGACACATGGATGGCCAGCCTGAGAGGGAGCCTCCGGGTCAGGCTGAGACCAAAAGTTCTGCCTGGGAATGGCTGGACTGGGAGGAACGAAATGGAAAAAGTGAGTTGAGCACCGGCCTTATCTCTCTGTGCTCTGATTGCACATGCAAAAGGACAGGCGGCTTTGTTCATGTTCCCACCACCACGGAGTCCCTGCTTTAACAGGTTCCCTTGACCTGGGAACCCAAACCTACTTCCTCAAGTGGCCTTTGGGGGGCATTTTTCCTCAGTGGTGAGAAAACTTGGCCCAGGTCCACTATAAATATTAAAAGAGACATTGCCTGTGCAGTGCCTGGAAGACAGCAGGCACTCATGGCAAAGCAGTGGTCATGATCTTCTGACATCACACCACTTGAAAGAGGCGAAGAGTTTAACTGCCCCCTGCCCAGCAGCCTTGCCAGCTTCCTCCAAGGAGGATACACACAGTCCTGATATGACTTGATATGCTGGGGTGAATTGACACGAGGGTGGGGGCTCCCCCTTTCTAAGAGGGGACAAGGAGGAAGAGGACAAGGGTGGGAGGGAGGGAGGGGTCTGTGTTCGGGATGTGGAGTGAACGAATAAATAAACAAAAAAATGAAAGAATTGACGCAGAGAAGATTATAAAATTGTAAAATAAAAATAGCCAGGCTTGATGGTGCACGCCTGTAATCTCAGCACTTGGGAGGCGGAGGCAGGCAGATCTCTGTGAGTTCGAGGCCAGCCTGGTTTACAAAGTGAGTCCATGACAGCCAGGGTTACACAGAGAAACTCTGTCTCGAAAAACCAAGTAATAATAATAAATTTTAAAAAATGTTTTAAGACTCATTTTTAAAAATTTGATCTGTATGTGTGTGAGTGGGCAGGTTCGTGTGTAAGGGGTGGTGACGGGTGTGAGTATGGAGACGGATGGGTGTGGGGTGAGAGGGGTGTGAGTGAGTGTGGGTCGGTGTTGATGTGGGAGGGCTGTGCTGTAGGTTGGTGTAGGCGGGTATTTGTGTGTGTGGTTGTGAGTGCGTGTTAGGGTTGCGGTGAGTGTGTAGATGTCTGTTTCTACAATCCATGCGTGAAAGGCGGCAGCTCTGGGGCCCTAATTCTGTCTTTTGTCACTGAGCTGTGTCCCAACTGAAAACAAGAGTCCAGTTTTCTGTGGTCTGAGATCCATGACGACAGCCACACTCTGCCTGGGGTGGCAGAGCATTTGCTGTCCTCTGGTCCTTGCCAGCAGGGACACTCTCCTTTGCTCTGCCATTCAAAGAGAACCCCTGTGTCACTGGGCGAGTGGCATGTGGCCTGTGGGTCCTCCAGCCCTTGTCTACCTTTTATCTAGTTAGCCCAAAGTGGGTCGGCCCTGGTCAAAGGACGTGGGGGTCAGAGGTCATCTCATGGATCAGAGCATTCCAGTGCTCTGTGGTGCCACCAGAGCGGGAGGGCAGAGCCCCTACATCATGACCCCACCCCTCTTCCTTGTCACCAGGAGACGCACCTAATGGGATGGGTGGATCAAAGTGAGCGTCTTTTATCAAAGCACAGAGCAAAAGATACTATAAAATAACTCTGTCAGGAACCAAAGTTAATGTCAGCCTCTGATAATTAACACTATCAGGCTTGACAGCAGAATATGCTAAATAAATTAGTCCGTAACTGCTTGTGTCTTCCAATTATAGGTTTTTGGTTGAATAATTGCTTCCCCGAATAGATGGATTGTTTCACTATTCTGCTTCCTTTTGCCTGTAAAGATGTGGCCTTCGTAAGCTGACATTAAATGGAAGCTCTTGCTCATCCCTGCCTCTGCCTGTGCAATGGAACCCTCTTCTGAATGACATTTAAGGGTTTGTGGGAATTCTTTTGATTTGAGTCAGCCAGGTGTGTGTGTGTTTTCTTTTTCCTCTTTTTTATGTTTTGACAGGATCCTATATATCTTAGGTTGGCCTAAACTTACTATACAGCTGAGGGTGACCTTGAAATACCGACCTTTTTTGTGCGTTGTCCCAAGTGCTGGGACAATAGACCTGTACTATCACATGCTTTTATTGGGACTACAGACACGTACCATCAGACAGTCTTGTTTGCATCACAGACACGTACCATCACACAGTCTTGTTTGCATCACAGACACGTACCATCACACAGTCTTATTTGGTGCTGTGCGTTAAACCCAGGGTTTGGATATGCTAGACAAACCCTGTACACCTGAGCTACATCCCAGCCCTTCCTAGGCCATAGGAGGGGGTAGTCAGAGCAGGCACACTGAGAGCTGGGAATGCCTGGAGGTGTCAGGGAAGCTCAGCTTTGCAAACACCTTAAAGAGTGAACTTCATGAAGCAGGGAGGAGGTGAGGGCAGCGTGTCAGTGTGGAGGCATGGCTCTGGGCACAGGGACAGGGGATGATGGCAGGAACTCAGCCTCAGCAGTGGCCAAAGCTCTCCGAAGGAGTGTTAGGACCAAGAGCTGCCCGCATGTCAGTGCCCTCATGTCCTTTCCGACATTCCCCCCAGCTCACAGTCACGGGCCTCTAGTGAGAAGGCCAGAACCTCAGTGTTGCTCTGCCCGCCACCTCCCCAGGGCCACGCTGCTCCTCCTCAGGCCCAGGACCCAGCAGAGTCTTCAGGGATGTCACTTCAGGTCATCTCTAGAACACTACTAGGTCGGAGAACAGGGTGGACACCCCAGGCCCCTGACAATCTTGTTAAGATGCAGAGTGGGGTCGAGCTTGTCTCCGGAAGAGTCTGAAACTCCACATTTCCAACCCACTACCAACTGGGAGGATCCCCGAGTCTCCGAAACAGGCTGTGGGCGACCGCATCTCCCTAGGGGCTGAGAACCTCAGACTGGTCTCTAAGCCTCTTGGCTCCAGATGGGGGTGCCATCCATCTCTAGGAGACAGGGGAGGAGGCGAGCATGCAGCTGGGCCACAGCACAGGCTCACCAGTGGAGACTGCCCGGTGGGGTGGGCAGCCGATGCTTCCACAGGCTCCCGAGGCAGAGCCCAAAGGCAGGCAGATCAGAGTCATGGTTCTGTCCCTGGCAGATCCCCACACTAACACCTCAGAAGGACTTGCTCACACAGGACTGCCATCCCTGATTTGTAAGGAATTTCCTCTGCTCCCAGGAGAGACTGGGCCCTCCAAAGTAACACCTGGTACTCGGAAACAAACACACACAAGGGAAGTAACAGACAGACACGGACTTTGACAGAAAGATAGTCTGACCTGTTCTCTCTGCTGCTCAGACTGGGGAGATGTTATGTTTCTGAAATGAAACACACACATGCATGCACACACACACACACACACACACCACACCACACACACATATATAATGGAAAAAGCAGTGACCACAATTTGAAAAGTAAATAAAAAATTATATATATATTAAAAAATCAGGAAATAGTTTCGTTGTTTGCCTTTAGATATAACAAACCACTGATTTACCCTCATTATAAAGTGAGTCCTTATCAACGAAACAGTGGCCTGGCGACTGAGCAGGGCACAGTGACAGCACCCGGACGTGGGGGAGACATGGGCTTCGTGTAACTTCTGAGCATTAGTGTCGTCATAACGAGACTGGCCCTGGGGTTAGCGAGCGGCCTCCACAGGGAGTACAGGGAATGCCCTTCCTTTTCCTGGAGTGCCCGCTTGGCAATATTGTGTTGCTCAGGAACTAACAAAACATGTCTGCGTGTGTCTGTCTGTTTCTCGGTGTCTGTCCCGCCCCCCTCCCCACCCCAGTGCTCTGCGCCCTGATATGTTTCCAGGCTGGCAGCTGTGAGGGGAAACTGTGTGGTTTGGTTAGGTACAGTGACCTGCTCCCAAGTCTGGACCCAAACAGATAAGAACTTGTGTGTTAGAAGACAAAGTTTACTCAGCACCAGGCAGGGGCGTTTGATGTTGCCTGCCCAATCTGGCCCCATATCTTTGAAGTTCTATGACACATGCTAGTGCTCTGTCAATAAGAAACAGGCCTTTCTTCCTGCTGGCTCACACATCTGCCTCCTGGGAACACCCCTGTGAAGGCAGGACACAATGGCTCCAGGCGGTTACATCAGCAGCAAGAGGGGCCATGGTTAAGAAGTGAAAAGTGTGGAGGACAACCCCCAAGGACCAGAGATGGGGACTGCCGAGGAGTAGAAGGGGCTGATCAGAGCTCCCTGACTAGAGGCTGGCCAGACCAGCCTCTTCTGGACGCTGTTTACACAGGGCTGCAGACGCACGTGACATCTGCTCTCTTTATCCGGGGCACTGGCTGTTGTTACTCTGTGAAAAGGTACATTGGTTTGTAGTGTCACTCTGCAGTGTCATTTAAACTGCTCCGTAAATGGCTTATTTGTCAAAGAATATTGCTTTTTCCTGGAACAGAACCTAGTGACGGATGGCTGAAATCTCTGGGTATCAGGAATGATATCGAGATGGTGCCCTTTGAAGGGACAGAGGTGGGGGCAGGAAGGCCTTTGTTCTTGGGAGTGAAAGCATCTAACAATAGATTATTTGAAGCCCTTGGATGCCAAGCGATAGGTCTCCAATCTAGTTTACAACGGAATTAATCTCTCTCATAGTCCTGGATGCTCCCTCTACATGAAGGGAGTGATGGAATGTAAGCCTCGGGGCTCTTAGTCTGTAGGTTTACCATGCCAGTCTATTGGTCTACCATGCCAACTCTTAAAGCACCAGCATGGGATGCCCATTGGGTCAGTGTGAGAATTCAATCTTCTCACCTAAACAAGAAGAAAGACAATGCCTGCCCTTGGTGTCTACCCGAGCCGTCTACCTGTGATGCCACCAATTACACACCTTAAGGCGACCTCCACTTGTACACGGAAAAGAGCATGGGTGCCAGTCAAGGAGTCAGGTAGAGCAGAGGCAGGGTGCTTCCTCCATTCATCCTCAGTTGATTCTCCATCCAAGCTCCGGGAGGGTGATGATCCCAAGTGTGTCCTGTCTGCTCACTCAGAGGAAAGGCATAAGAAATATGGTGGAGGGGGTGAGAATGGTAAGACAGATGGTGGCAGGGTGGATGGTGAGGGGCAGGTGGTGGGAGTGGACAGACGGGTGGATGGTGGCAGGAGGGTAGTGGGGAGGGGGACTGTGGGGAAAGGGTGGTAGGGACAGCTGTGGTAAGGGGCTGGAAAGGAGCAGATGAATGATGGGGGAACACGGAGGCAGGATGGATGATGAAGGGACAGTGGTGGAGTAGGTGGGACTGATGTGGAAAGGCTGGACCCTCCATTCTGAAGACCGTATGCTCTGGGTGGCCCCAGTGAGCATTGCTTACAGGGCTGAGGGCAGAACCAGGCTTTGATTCTCAAGCAGGGTCTGGAGACAAAGACCCAGAGAGCAGTTCTGACAGCAAAGCCTTAGCTTTCTGCCCAGTTTCTCACCACCGACGTGTGGGCTGTCACTGGCACTCTCTGGAAAGACATGGCTTCATAGAAGATACTTTCACTGTCCCTGTCCTGCTATCTCTACCTGCCACTAAGATGACGTTTTGAGGGGCCTGGGGTAGATCTCAGTTGGGTGAGTGTGTAGCACAAACAAAGCACAGGATTCGACCTTGAGCAGCATCTAAACCAGGCATGGGGGTGAATGTCTGTAATCCTGGTACAGGGGAGGCAGAGGGGAGAGGCTCAAGATCATCGTCAGCTATGCACAATATTCAGTGCCAGCTTGGGCTATGTGAGACCTTGTCCCAGAAAAGAAAAGGTGACCTTTGAGTCAGGGGGCTGAGGCAGGAAGATTATTCCAAACTCAAGGTGAATCTTGGCTACAGAGTCTGTCAAAAAGAAAGGAAGGAAGGAAGGAAGGAAGGAAGGAAGGAAGGAAGGAAGGAAG